GCAATTGTCGTAGTGGTGGTGGTTGTGTCAGTAGTGGCCGTATCTGTAGTGACCGCATCAGCAATTGTCGTAGTGGTGGTGGTTGTGTCAGTAGTGGCCGTATCTGTAGTGACCGCATCAGCAATTGTCGTAGTGGTGGTGGTTGTGTCAGTAGTGGCCGTATCTGTAGTGACCGCATCAGTAATTGTCGTAGTGGTTGTGGTTGTGTCAGTAGTGGCCGTATCTGTAGTGACCGCATCAGCAATTGTCGTAGTGGTTGTGGTTGTGTCAGTAGTGGCCGTATCTGTAGTGACCGCATCAGTAATCGTCGTGGTGGTTGTGGTCGTGCCAGTAGTGGCCGTATCAGTACTGAGTGCATCAGTACCTGCCATATCAATAGTTGCCGTATCAGTGGTTGTCGTAGTGGTTGCGGTCGTATCAGCTGGTATCGGAGTGGTTGTGTTTGAAGTAGTTGCCGTCGATGTGATCGTCGTTATGCAGGGTATGCCTGTCGCAACTACTGTGAACGTGACACAGTATAGCGTAGATTGTAGAAATTCACTAGTTTGAAAATGAAAAATGAAACACTAGCGTGAAGAAAAAGAGGAGGAAAAAAGAAATACTCGGTGTAGGCTATTGCGCACAGTGTTTGCGGCCCAACTTGACTAGTCTTTGGAGTCCAAGTGAGTGTTATATAGGCGAGTGATATGTTTCCAATTGAATATGTTGTATTACTAATTTGGATGCCAGAAATTGATTGAGATAACAATATATCAGTGACTGCAGTTACATTAGGATCACATAGATTGATGGCATATAAATTAAAGCTGACAGAAACGTCGACTAGAACTTCGAGACAGCCTGTTATAGGAAGAATAACTGGTGGCAATGCGCATATTGGTGCGGGCATGACATAAACGAGAAATTGAACTGGCACGGAACTCATGGGATCGACACTAGTGTTGCTGATGAAGTCTTCGACCTGGAGAAAGAAGAAGATTGTACTGATATTGAATTGGTATTTGGGGAATAATTTTCACTAACATTGTTTTATGAAATGTTGTAGCTTTAAATTTTGCACTGATAGTACTTAGAAATGTGCACTACTATTTATATCGAGTAACTTTCGCGATGTTTTGGTGCAGAGAAAAATTTCTGGCAAATGTTTTTTCTTTCAGAAAGTACAGAGTTCATTGTTTAAAGTGATTACAGAAAAACACAGAATTGGAATGTAGCCGATCAACGTTGTAAGTACAGATCGATTGCGCAAAGAAGACTCAACTGTTTCAAAAGAATTTTATAACCACAAAGTAAAAAAATTTGTTCTCTGATTGGACAAGTTTTCCTAGTAATAAAACATTTTTGTGCTGGTTTGTATGAACAACAGTTTGTTTCAGAAATTAAAACTACTAAATAGTGTGTGCGATAAACACTAAAAATATACTGTTAGCCCTTCAACATTACGAATGATTAATTTTCCTTGTGGATAACATGAATGGATCTCTAACACAAGTACTACTGGGCATGGCATCGCAATGTTTTCTGCGTTCATTCACTAGAATTTGATAGAATGTGCAAATTCTCTATCGGAATCAATTATTGTCTCACATATCAAAAAATGTTCCAATCATTTTTCACCTTGTACAGCCATAATACATATCTATGCAAGAATTAATGAGCCGACGGTGGTCAATATTGGTTTGCTGACGTCGGACATTTTGAAAATCATATACTTATAGTTTATTCTGTTTAGTCTATTTGGATTTCAAATGTGACTATGCGATAGAGAAAGTCAAGCTCTTTCGATTTGCACTAGTTTGGCTTCAGTAGCTTATTCTGTTCGAGCAGAGTTTTTGTGATTCTACTGATTAACTTCTGTTAAAAGAGTCTTGACATAAAATATTTGTTCATTGGTTGACCACTTGAAAACATATTAGTATCAATTGCAAGTCGTTAAGTAAAGTCTCAATCCTTTACTCTTTTAAAAGATTTAGTTACGCGTTATTTTGTCATTTAAGGTTGCTTCACTGTAAACCAATGTTTGAAACGCTGCAAAAAATTATATCCATATATAAAGCTAGTTTTTTCTCTTAACAATTTGTAACATCTCTATGTTATACTTTAAAGTAGTTTTGAATTCACATTTGTCTAGAGCCCTCAGTTCTCTACAGAAACTAAATATTACGATGGGCTAGAACTCGAAAAAATAAAAGTATAGATATGTTTTTTACATAAAACAACAGTTTTTCAAAATATAGATTTTTTAAAACCTATGTTTTGGTTGCAAGAGATTCCGCGTTTTTATTTCTTTATGTAAAAAACGTTTAGGTATGATATTTTGCAGAGCAAACTTTCCTCTACAAATCAACATATGAAAATTTTTGTTATTTGAGTTTATTTTTACTGAAATACATAATTAAGCTACGTAGAATTTTGTACAGATTCGAGTCCTTACAAACATTTGTTGACAGTAAAACAATCTTTAATTAGAGGTAGTATATGAGTATTCATATTGACGCAGCACTACCAATTAACTCTTTCCAGACTGTTCTTTTATTGACTCCACATTCTGTGGTCAGGCTTTGTATCGATCAAAAGTGCTCACTTCTTTTTCTATAGCTTCAGCCAGTTAGTGCGCAATACTAAATACAACAACCTGCAAATAAGTTGTTTGTCAAATGTATAACATTGATCATTGACCAGTTTACAATTTTTAGCAGAAGTCGATGTATCCTCTTGTAAATTATGAAAAGCACGATGAACAAACTGATCAACTGCATTCTCACATTATTCATAAAACATTGAAGTATCTTACACTTTGAGTAAGATAGTAATATAGGGTGTCCAGTAAGTAACTCCACAAAGAAAAAGTTGAATATCTTCATTACAACTCGACCAAACGGGCTCATTTTTTTACCAAGGATAGAGGCATGTTCACATTTCAAATCCATA